CCTTTTCCCCACCTACCCTCCTCTACCTCACTGTCCTTTATGCCCATTGGAAACCCAGTCACTAGGACTTCCCAGGCTAGAAGTAGACTACAAATAGAGGTGCATTGATACATCAGTCCAATAATGGATCAGCACCAATATAAATAAAATTGACTAGATCAGAAATTGGCCTCAAGTGGCCTATAATCAGGCCAATAAATGCCTATGTGTATGTGCAGCCGCAGCATAGCACATAGGAAGCGAGGAGTGTAGCCCAGCAGCATGGAGAGCTGTCTGCAGCTGTTAAATCTGTTGCAGTGAAAGGAGAGGGAAGAGGCATGGCATGGGGCACTCCCCTCCCAGTGCCACTGCTGCCCGCTCCGAGTACAGCACAGCACAGCATGGCCCCTGGCCCTAGCCCCCAGCTGCAGTTCACCCTGCTCCACACTGCGCAGATCCAGGGGCACATGCCCCACCCCCCAGGTGAGTAGCAGGAGCCCCCCTCCGAGACAAGCCACAGCTCTGTCCTGCACCCACACTGCCCCAGCTAGGCAGCGCCTACCCAAGCCCCACTCCCTCCCTCACCATGGGGGGAGCTGACCTGCACTCCCACAGCTCTTCCCTCTCCTTTCATCATAACAGGCTTACCAGCTGCATGCAGCTGTATCAGAAATCAGACTGGTATCAGCTGATACGCCTCCTTAAAAATCAGCTATCGGTATCAGTCCGAAAAATCTCTATTGGTGCACCCCTAGCTACAAGCTCTGCACCAATGTTGCAGTGTCCATGGCAGAAGAAAAGGGGTGATTTCCTGGGGTGTCACCGTAGCCACAGTTCCTCATGTGGACCACCAAGGGAATACCTAACCTATCATTGTTACAGGGTACCTGACATACAATATTCAGAAATAAATGCTACACTGCTGGCAGAACAAAATGAGACCTAATAAGGTGCAATAAAAAGGATCAAGTAAGATAAACTACTTGGAACTTTTTAAATACAGACACCCATTCCATAAGTGACTGAAAATGATTTTAATGAATCTTTATTTAGGTTTCAAATCAGCTTTTAATGTGACATGGTTCTTCTAATTGGGAATGGAAATATTAATTTAACATTTCTGTCATTTTATATTAAGTACTGCATGTTATTTCTATATTATGAAAAAGTTCAAATTCTTAATATAAAAAGGATGTTGGAAAAGTCTGGTATGGAGCATAAGTTCTTACACTGCACCATTCATCTTCAGGTCAGGCTTTATAAAAATGGAATGCTAAAAGAAGTTAGCTGAGTGGAGAAAAATGAGATTGAGAAAATGGATGTATGAATAACCACAGAAATTATGAAACTGTCAAATCTTCACAGATCAATGCCTGATGATATTTAAAATGTCAAAACTGTTTGCATCTACTGTTCTCCATCGCTGTTATCAAATTCTATTTTAAGTTCCCTTAAACGAGGCAGCATATTGAATAGTAGCTTATCTGTTACCAAAGATCTGCTGCATGAAGCTTTAAGAGAGCTCATCTATGAAGTAAAAATCAGTTTTTGCATTAGGGCAAGTGTCTCAAACATCTTGGTGGATGGGCCTTATCTCACTCAGAGGTTAATGGGAGAAGCACTGGGTTTCAGAGAAAAAGACTAGGAATTAGGACCAAGGAAACCGGGGTTGCATAACTGACTACCACTGACCTGATACATGACCCCGGACAAATCATTTCAGCTCTGTTTTCCCCACTGTCTATGTTGCCTGTTTGGACTGTAAGCTCAAGGCATGCAAGGTGGCCCTTGTCTCTCTTCCTAAGGCATACTGCAGTCTTTATGGCTCTTGGTCTTTTATAAAAAAAGGTCATATAAGGTGGGCATAGGGTGCTTTATGGCTGGACAGGTCACAATTGGTTGTACTCATGGATCCCTTAGATCAGGGGTTTTCAACCGGGGGTACATGTACCCCAGGGGGTACTTTAGAAGGCCCCAGGGAGTACACAGCAGTGGCACAGAGAAGCTGGTGGCACTTCCAGTTTCACTGCTGTGTGGGGGACCTCCCCCCCCCACTCATTGACCAGCCGCCAGGGGTACCCCAACCAAAAAAGGTTGAAAACCTGTGCCTTAGATGTAGTGTCTACTACATGGTTGCCATTGACTGAGGGAGACTTGACTTCATGATCCAATTATATCCTCCTCAGAGCAAGGAGAGCCCATTGCTACATGGATTTCAAATACCAGGGTCAAGGGGGCTATGTAGGGATTACCAAAATATAAACAACTGCAGGCCAGCCATCCTCCCATCTGCAATCACTTAACAGCTCCATTGATACAACAGTAATTTTTAACATGCAGCATGTTATCATGGGAGCATGCAGTGAGTTTGTACCTGTCCTTGGTGTTGACGCAGCAGCTGGAAAGCAGTACCATGCAGCCAGCCAGCTCCTATGGATTAAGAGTACTTTTATGCTTCCCTTTTGGAGAGACCAAGCCTACAAAGGCTGTCTAGCATAGGACTGGCTAGTTGGAGTAGTCCAATGAATTCCCACTGAAAAAGTCTCCTGTCAGCAGCAGCCTCACTGCAGCTTGAAAGGCAAAAATGCTTTTAGTGGGGCTTATTAAGAGATATGGTGACTTCTAAGAATGAGTGGGCTGATGTCAATAGTCTCTGCCTTTCCTGTGGGAAATTACATTCCATTTGCCATTTACAGTTATAATACCAGGGATAAATGGAAAGAGCCTTCAAAGTCCAATTCTGCAAGGCTGGAACTGAAAATCCATATCACTTTACAGAAAGACAAACAGATACCTCGAAAAAGATGTACAGTAGATTACAGCAAGACCCAGTCTAAGCCAGTGTCAAAGCAGGAAACATCCACTAGAAACAATGCTTCTCTGGCTTTGCTTCTTCAATAAAAATTGACTATTATTATCATGTCTAGCATGCAGAAGGACAGGGAAAGTATGCCTGGACAATGAACAATGCTCTTTCTTTCCTTCTGGGACTTGATTTATTTTTATGTCCATGTCAGTCTTGAGTACAGGAAGGCCAATTTATAACTCTGTCTGCAGTGCTACCAAGCAGACTCATCATTCACACATTTAGAGAGCTAAAAATCTGCAGGTGATGGTTCTTTCAGGCTATAAATTTAAAACATCTTATTTCCGAGACCCCCCCCCCCTTTTTTTTAAAAGGACATTTGGAATAAAATAGTGGAAGGGATGAGTGTACTGGTGAAAGATGGATCTCCTTCCTGCTTGTTAGCTTAACTCCTTGTAGTTTCTCCTGGAAACAAAGGCCTACTCCTTGTAAAACTGGGGATTATGCTAGCAATAAACCCTTCAGGAGCACTGTAACACACAAGCTGAAGGTTAACTACCTGTAAGCATTCACTAGACACAGTTTTCTACCATAGTTGGGCAAGCTAGGACACAGTACTACAGTTCTCTAATGATTTGGTCAAGTCTTTCCATTGTATTTGATTAATCATCCCTGAAATCTACGTGACTGTATTCCATGCAGAAGGCAGGGCTGATTTGCACGTAGCCGTAATCTTCACTGAGCATTAAGATTCCTTTTCTTATAGAGCTTGACCAACATCCATTCAAGGCACAAGAGAGGTACTCACCAACTTCACTGCTCCTTGGATCAGACCAATCTGGAACTGGACTGTGGTTCTGGGGCACCAGTGTATGAAAGTGCATGCGACTAAAGGAGTACCACCCTAGCACAGATGGCACAGTGCAGAGGGAAATATGGATGAATGAGGCTAGAGAGGCACTTGCTACAATCCCATACTCTTCCGCACACTCTTGACTCCCTCTGAGGAGGCAGCCATCTATGAAGTCTTTGCTTTCCACAGACCTGATCCAGACTCTACTGGAGTTTCAAGTCTTGCCATTGGATTTCAGTAGGAGCTTGCTCAGACCCATGGATGACAAGGACTCAGACAACAGGCCTCCTAGCCTAGACCAGTGGTATGCCCCTGTCTCCTTTGGGAACCATCACAGACCTAGTCATAATTCAGCCCATGATGTTAATTTCACAATTCAGGGACAGTGGAAGGCATGGATATTAAGGATCAAACAACTGTAGGTGGCAAAAGTTTCCTTGCAAAAAGCAAAAACAAACCAGATCCATTCCCAAGGTTAGGAGGACTCTTTCTACAGATGCTTGTGTTTACTTGTTTACTTTGGTCACTGCAAGAAGCACAAACTCACTAGAGTAAATAAAATCAGCACCTAAGAACCAGCTAGGTGGATAGAGTTTTTCTATCCCCAGCCAGCAAAGGATCTGATTAGATTTCTCCCTAAATGGGTAATGAATGAAGTAGCATTTATGTCATGTGAGGGAACATTGCCCAATTCCACTCTCTCGTTTAAATAGTAGAAGGCCCTTGCCTGACTTGCATGGGACCATTCACTTGAGTAAATGCCTCCTGACTTAAAAGGGTTGGCCACCAAGTCTACAGGCTGAGTAGAGCTAGACTGTGACTTTATCCAAAGGCCTGAATGCAGTTCCTATGCTGCATCATGTCTCAGCAACACCTTTATATATAGCAATTCCTCACCCATTTCATCTTGGCTCAAGAGAGAGATTTTAGAGGCCAATTCCTGTTGGACTACACCACCAGTGACTGCTGAACCTCCTTCTCACCTCAGCTGTGGTAGCCAACAGATGGGAATAGGGCTAATGCTTTGTTCATTCTCTACTCATGTATATTTGAGATTGTACCATCTGCTCATTCTTGTGCATCTGGATGCAAGGTCCGACTAACCCAGGTAGCACTGTAATGGCCAGGAGGACTACTACTTGCCCACACCCCATTGTTGGAATGGAATCTCAGACACAAGCTAGCCCTTAGCCATCATGCTTTATTAAACTGGAAAGTTGTATTTGCACATGACTAATACAATTCTAGTCATTTTCCTTTCTTTACCAAAACAAGACCTATTTTACAGTTGCTCTAACTGATTACCTGGATAATCACAGACTTCAGCCAGTTTAATCATTGGCTTGGTAAGCTAGCACTTACTTCGACAAAGATGAAGCATGGGATGATGGAATAACTTCGCTGGGTATTGTTTCCTAAAGCCATCTCTCATCACACCGCTCAGGGTTGCACCGTCCAAAACTTTACTGAGCTGAAAGAGACAAACATGGTATATAAATTACACTTGATTGCAAGTCCTGCTTTTGATACAACCTGAGAATCTGATATACATCATGAAGTGCTCACATTAACAAGCAGAGAAAAAAAAAAAGAACATTACATTAGGAGGTAGACTGTCATATAACAATCTTCAAACAAGTGTTGCGGGGCACTTGGAACAGCCCAGAAGTTATGAATACTACTCAGACAGTGTTCACCAGGTACAGGCCTGACATGTATTACTTCCCTCATAAAGCACTGATCCAATTGTGACCAATTTTGTTCCTACTTTGCTCCTTGGCTATTGCTACTATGCACTTTTCCCTGCCCAGAGCAAGGTGTGAGATCACAACCTAGCCCAGAAATTTCTACCCTAGTTCAAAATGGTTTTGAATCAAGGGGATTTCAGGCCAAATGCGAGTTTCACCTTCACATTTCAAAGTAGCAGTAAATTGGAAGCAACTACTGATATGATAAAAAGATCTTCCTGGTAAAACACAGACTCGCCAACAGGACACTAAAACTCACTCTGGCAAAACTACTGACTCCAAGAGAAGCAAACCCTACAGAATTAACATGGCAGGACTGGGCCCCACTTGCATAGTGCTTTTGACCTAATATAAACTAATACATTAAACCACAAAATCCTTGCTGCTTAGCATTACTTTGGACTGCTGATGTTTTAATTAAATGTAGCCTTGTAACAGCCAGCTCTGAGATATTTACTCTTTTCACTGCATATAATCTATGGAGAAAGATCATAGCTCTGATGTGGGGAAAGCATATATGCTGTTGAAATGTTTTACGCATCCAGCAGCCAAGTGAAAGAATTCACATGGCTTCACAGAACAGCGCTGGGCAGCAGTATAAACAAAAAGCAGCAGCAGTCACAGAACTACCACTTGCCTACTGTACACTCTCCCATGGGACAGTCCAAAGAAATGGAAGAAGTGGAAATTCAGCTTCTCTCACCCTACCTCTAACCATGCAGAGAAATAGCAGCAGTTTAGGAGAGATACAACACCCTCCACTCAGCACCTTGATTCCACAGAGTCTCATCCATCTAAATTACCCAGTAGCTAAAGCTCTGTGGGCTTTCTTGAGGCATATATAGGAGGTGAGAGCCAGATTCAGCAGCCTCATTCTCTTCAAATATTTCAGAGGATGATGCCAATTAACCTACACAAAAATAGGTTCCATATCACCAGCCTCCTCTGGGACAGGGATGACCAGGCATTGAGCGGTGGAGGTTGTCAAAGTAGTTTTTTCCGACTATTGACTAGAGCTAGGCAATTTCTAGACATTTTTTAAAATTTGATAACTATAGATTCAGGTTGCCCAAAACATGTTGTGAATTAATTCTTGTTTGATCCTCCGAATTGTTTTGACTGAAGTGCACACCAAAAAAACATTCTGAACAAACCTGAAATATTAAGGTTTTGATTCAAAATTACTTTTTGCTTTGAATTTACCATTGTTTTATTGAAAAGAAAATTCAAAACCTTAGAAAAGCTTCTATGATGAAAAGAAAATAAATGTTGGATCAAATCTTAAGTGCCCTGAAATTAAATTTTGATTTTCTGAAAACTTTGAAAATGTTTCATTCCAGATCAGCCTGAAACAATTTTTTCCCCCAGCAGTCAGATTCTACTCCACCTGCTGGACTTATGCATGCTCCCCCTCGCTGGTTTTCTGCAATTCACTTTTCAAATCATATAAGAGTGATGTTGAAGCCATGATGGTCCAGAAATTATACAAGAGGCAAGGATTTCCTAAGGTGATATCTTCTGTTGGACCAATTGTATAGTTGGGATACAGTCCAATAATAGATATCCTAGGATATCCTTGCCTCTCCCATCAGTTTTAAGGAAAAGATGACAGTGTGTTGCAAAAGCAGAGGCATTAATTGACTTTCAGGAACTTGAACAGGGTAGAATGGGATTGTATTGAGGCAATCAAGTCCACTTAGATGCCTAATAGGTGGAATAGAATCTGGCCTCTAGTTGTTTCAGTATCAAAAGTGAACTTAACATGAAGTTATTCACACGGTTCTATCCTTAAGATAGTACATGGCATGAATTACTTCTGCTCTAAATGGCACTTGAGATTTTCGGTGATCGGTTAAGGACAAAGAAGTGTATTATTATTACTGAAATCCTGCCCCAGGAAACAGTCAGCACCTTTCTTGCAATTGTCATGTTGCAAGAATCATTCTGGTTCACTAGAAAAAAAACCCTCTAATATTTTTCCCCAGATCATAGCAAACCCAATCCAGAGATAATTGGGTTGCTCTGTGATTTATGACCTGCCTTTGGTCCCAATAAGTTCAAGTGGAGCACCACAAACCATTTCAGGAAGGATATGAATCGTACATGTTAAGCAACTCATTACATTATAAGAAAGTACATAAGGGTCCTCCAGAGGAATATTGCTTTGCCTGTTTACAGACCAGCACCATTGCAATGTCTTCATAAATATGTGTTGTTGTGGCTATTCCCCCAAGTTTACTGTTCACCATCACTGCATGCAAGACAATAAGATGCTTTCCAAAAAGTATGTGCCTAACCTGTCAGATCCTCTCCTGCATTCTGGCCTGTACGTGTTGTTCTAGAACAGGGGTGTTCAGCCCCTGGTCCAGAGGCCAGATCCAGCCTACAACTCAAGGTCATCTGGCCCATGAAGCTCCCCACAGGTCCATGGGAAACCCTTCAGGCCATGGCTCTGCATGCTAGAAGGGGTGTGCAGAGCAGTGTGGGTCCAATACTGGTGCCCAGGGCCAGAGAGAGGCAGCATGAGGTCACAGAGCCCCAATCCTGGCATGTGCGGCTGGATGAATGCGATGCAGGGCCCCAGAGTCTTGATCATGGCACCTGGAACTGGGCAGGGATCCTGGGCCCTGTACCTGGCACACAGGGTCCGATCCAACCTGCAGACTAATCCTGCACCATTCATCTGATCCACAAAAACTAACGGTCAAGCACTACTGCTCTAGAAGTAAAAAGAATTAAGGAGCCAGATCTAGCTTCCAGGGATTTCTTTTGTTATGGAGGACTTCTCATTTATCTCAGAGCTGGCATAGCACTCCACTAAGCCACAACTTGTCACTGAATATGGGTCAAGGGGCAGAAAGATAATTGGGCTGGATTCACAGGGTTCCTTGGGGCCTTTAACAGCAAGCAGAAACTACAGCAGCCCCTAGGTTGCTCCTATTATGCTAGGCACGGATCAGCCTAGAGTATCAAGAAGCCATCACCAGATCTCAGCATTGGAGAAAATCTGGGTTCACATATATGCCCATCTCTTCCTCTCCAGCAAATCTCAGTACAAAATGTCCAACCAGAGCTAGAGCAGATAACAGCTTTAACAGGCATCTGGTATGGCCTTCTCCATTTGTACCCTATTTTGGCAGTTTGATTGGATTTTTAAGGAACTTATGCTAGTAAAATTAGAAAGACATATTTTGATTCCACTAGCTCTGACCTTTCCATTCCCGGAGCTTGAGCAGTGCAATGAGGGGAGATTTGCTCAGACATATTCCATGCAATTAAGGACCTGCATGCTGGGAATATTAATACCATCTGGAACCCTGGTATAAGGTGCCTCTATTCTTTAAACAAGGTAGAGTAGCTGGATAATACAACCTTTGTGAATGAATTAGCATTAGTTAGTTTCCAGCTTGCCTAATTTACCCCACATACATTTTCTGAAAGCCCTTGAACTGTAGTGTAAGAGGTTACAGTCTAGCATCTCCTGGGAAAACACAGAGAGAGATGCAATATACATAAGTGAATTGAAAATTAACTAAAAAGACAGTCAAGAAAGGAGGACTATCAAGGCGACTTCACAAGCTGAAAAGGTTTTATTACCTCAGGAACCCATCTTGGGAAAGGAAAAGAGAAAATTCTAATAAATGGAAATCTGCTAAAAGGAAGATTTTTGCAGGAGGATTTTAAAGTCAAATTCAAGTGTGTTCTAAAGCCTTTTCACTTCATACGCGACACAGAGAAAGAGAAATCTGTAAGAAAAGACAAAGGAAGCTGAGCCTGTCTATTGCTGCTGCAGTAGGAGATAAATAGCAATGCTCTGTGTTTACCAGAGCTTAAACCAAGAAACAGCGACTATATCCTTCAGGGGTTCTGATTATCTCTAAGCTTTTTCAACAAAAGCTTATGTAGCCTAGACTGAACATATGACTTGTCTTGCAGTCTTATATTTTAAAGGATCTTTCTCTCAGAAAAATACTTTGATGCTCGTGAAAGATGCTGAATCAACAGCCCTGGAAAACAAAAGCCATACACACAGAACAGGTAGTGTTTAACTAGGTTCTGAGACTGCACACACTCCTGCCATACCTAATGATAGGACACACCTTTTCTTGCTGCCTGCCTGTGTGCCCAGACTCTGAATGTTAGCGATCACCTCTGGGAGTGATATGGTGGGCCAATTCTTCTGATGTGCCCCACTGGTTTCACTAGAGAAACTCCATGCTCATTTAGCCCATGACATCCTCCTCTGATTGCCATCAGAAGTGCTGTTGTTTGGATTTGTTTCCTCTGTGCAATTTGTTTCCTCTGTGTACCTCTTCACTAAGGCCAAATGGGGTTTGCCAGACCTGTGTGCCCAAACACTGAACGTTAGGGATCACCTCTGGGAGTCGTAAGGTGGCAACTGAATTATTTTTTTTCTGTGCCATGTAGTGTAAAATGACATTAGAGACTGAAGGTCCTATAGTAAACGGCCCATGAGTCCCATATAATGTCAAGCAGGATTCCCTTTGTGAAATAAAAAAAAAAAAAAGGCTAAATGAAGATCAGACACCCATGGTCATAAAATAAGCATAATAAAGAGACAATGGACAACACTTTCAAAAGCAGCTAATCCCATTTTCAAGAGTCCATTTGATCCCTAAGGGCTTGCCTACACACCCTTAAGTTAAAGTGCTTTAACTATTTCTGTAGAATTAAAGCATTACAACTCCCTTAGCCCATATAA